TCACATTGATGTTTTTCTCTCTCTCTCTCTCTCCCCCGCCCCTCTCCTTTCCTCCCTTCCACTCTCTCTAAAAATCAATGGAGAAAATATCCTCAGGTGAGGATTAAAAAAATAATTAAAAAATTAGAGCTTGTGGACTAGGGAGTCGTAGATTAGATTCCTGTCAAGGGCACGTACCTCAGTTGCTACTCCATCCCCAGCCCTGGTTGGGGTAGTGCAAGAGGCAATACATGAGTCTTTCTCACATGGATATTTCTCTCTCTTTCTCCCTCTGTCCCTTCCACTCTACCTGAAAATCAATGGAAAAATATCCTCAGGTGAGGAATTAAAAAAAAAAAAAAGTTCTATTGAACATTTTGCTGTATGTTAATCCTTTTGGACCACTGGAAGTTTTTAAAAGAGAATAAGCATGTATTAATTTTATCACACGCAAAAATGTCTTCCCTATACCCTCAAACACAAATCAAGACAAAAAGTAACTATTACATGAAAATTTAAAAACTAAAGCTAAGGTAGGCAAAAATGGAAAAAGCTACAGCTGCACTTTTACCCTGACTCTAAGTTCAGCATAGTCTATCAAAAAAGGATGATTTTTTTTTTTTTAATCATTAGCTATGACTTTTCTGAGTGGTGTATTTAATACTGGCATTATGTGAATGTAGTTTTTTTTCAATTCAAAAGTAGGTCAGCATTTCCAAAGATGCATTCTTATCTGTAGACCACTGAACTTCTGATATGGTTCAGATACTTTGCCCCAATAATTTTAAGAAAGGATGCATACAACATTTCCTTTTCAGGAGATCCACAAAGCAAGATAGTTCTGTAAGGTCCAGCAATGAAGAAATCTTTTGAATGTAAATCATTCTCCTAAAGATTCTATAACTAAATCTATCCTTTAAAAACCATTAAATTCATACATCTAAAAAATGAAAAAGAAATTAAATTACCTAATTGAGATAACAAACTGATGATACTGAAGATCAGCGGTGCACTTAGGTTTGGGTCTTCAAGTAGCTCTACAAGGCAACTCAAACATTCACTTGGCAATATCTGATTTGATGTAAATAATCGTGTGAGCTTTTGTCCAGAAATCACCTACAAAACAGTAATTAAAATGTTAGCTAAAAATTGGCAGTTTTTCTCTCTATTCCATTTCAAACAAAAAATAGTTAGTTCTTCCAAAGTGCCACTGCCATCCTCTTTCCCCAATTTAGAAAATTCACACATACTGTTCCCTCTGCCTGGAAGATTAATTACCTATCCCTTCTCTCACTGGCTAATGTCATCATTTGGGTCTCAGCTTTCATTTATTTCCTCCAGGAAGCTTTTTCTAACTCTCTTTCACCAACTAGTTAGGTTTACCTATCACACTATCCTGCAGTACATGATGCGTTTATTTCAGAAACTGGCAAACTTTTGAGGACCTAGCAATATATATACTCCCTACTGACCTAGCTATATTTATCCTCCCTACTACACTGAACACTCCATGAAAGCATCAAGTACAAAACAACACTCTACTACCAATATATTTATTGAATAAATAAATTCCACTACGTTTATTCCACCTACTTTGAGGGAGACAATGGAAAGTGAAAAGTAGCTAAATTCAAAGGCTTAGCTATGCAGTTAGCAATGTGATTATTCCTGTTCCCTCCCCAAAACAGTAGCTGAGCCCAGCAATGAGAAATTACAAAAGAGTAAGTTTAAAAAAATTTTTTAAGTAGCCAGGTCAAGCATAGACAAATTTTATTTTTGGTTATTCCACTTTTTATTCCTCCCATCTCCTCCCAAAAAGGTAAAGTTGGAATTAAAGGCCCAAAAGAGCTGTCAGACAGCCATGTATTTTCAAAATGCTTTTTGAATGTCATTCATTAATAAACATATCTTTTCTATGAAAATGGAAAAACAATTAGTTACTTCAGAATTAGGGTAAATTTGTTCTAAATGTTTTTATTTTTTAAAAGACCAAGTCTAAGAAGGCTGTTTTAGTATCTCTCTAATTTTTCCTTTCTGTGTCCTTTTATTCCCTCACCCAGATTTTTTTCTTCTATAGTTCTGCTGATAAAGGAGCTTCAGAATATCTTTTCACATGGATTATGTTTTAACATTAAAGTAAAAGTCTGTAAGAGTGAAAAATGGTCTAAAGGTGAAATTAGATACTGATAGAAGATATTTTGTAATAAGGAACCTCCTGACCCATTGCCCTTTTGCTTACTTACAAAGCCAGCCCTCCAGAAAACTAAGACATTTTCTGCTTTAAATATAATTTCCCCCAGGACTAGACGTGTATTTAAAAACATAATTACTCTCACATGTAATAATTATTTATTAGTGTAAAATTTAAAAATTGCTTTACAAATTTTATTCTTTGCACATACACATTGAATGTTTTATGTAAATAGAATTTATTTTAGTAATAACTAATACTTTAGCACTTACTCTGGCCTAGGCATTGTCCTAGGTACATGTATGTTAAATCTTTTCATATTCATAATACTCTGCAAGGTAGATGCTAACTGTATTGCAGATGAGTAAACTGAAGCACACACTACAGTAGCATAATTGGGATTCATTGCTCCTGAATCAATGCTCATAATCATTACCTAAGATTAGTGCTATGAAAAACATAAAGATTTAGACCAGTTCAGCTTTGCCAATCATAAATGAATTCAGAACTCAGGTTCTGCATGGGACTATAAAGAATAATTAGCAGAAGTGCAGTAGAATAGCAGAATAAAGTCAATCTCTTTTTCACAGAATAAACATCTCTCTTTGTATCCTCACATGTTGCTCTCATGAGGTCTGCACAAAGATATTCACTATTATTATCATCACCAAAATGGTTAAAATTTTACAATCTGAAAACACCAAGGATTGGTGTGGATGAATGACAGTAAGTGGTATATAACTTGTGAAAATTTGCTTGGCAGTTTCAACTAATTCCACTTCTAGGTATATAAGAAAAATGAATGCACAAAGCCACAAAAAAAGTATGAGAATACTTATAAAAAATGTATTCAAATTCTACCCAGAACTGGAAACAACCCAAATGCCCATCAATAAAATATAAATAAACTGGTGAATTCATAAAATGAAATTCTACACAGTAATTAAAAAGAATAAAGTACGTAACACAAATGAATTTCCAATTATACTAAGTGAAAGAAGCCAGATAAAAAAGTATGTATTTTATAAGTCCACTTATCTGAACTTTATGAGAACGGACAATTGAAAAAATCCAAATAGGGATCTAGAAATGGTCTACATTATGATAAGAATGGTAGCTAGTTTAGTATACACATGTTAAAAAAAAACAAAACTATCAAGCTTTTCAGTTAAGATTATTGCACATTATGCACTGAATGTATGTCATCTCTCTAAACCTTAAATTTTTCAGTAAACCCTTTGAAAGTTTGGAACACAGTATCATATTTAAGCCTCAAATTTCTTTGACGTTTCCTTCAATTCACCATAACATGGTGCTCAGATTCACAACATAACTGTTTATTTCCAAAGACAGGTAATATTTCAAATTAATATTTAAAATACTTAACTCCTTTATCTTAAATAAAACTAACAGTCCTGCTTATTCTGTGGCTTGTGGATCCACTAGCACACTGTTCTATCCTGAGAAGTAAAGCATTAGCATTGAACAGCTAACACCCTCATCATTAAGTTTGCAGAAATTTGTTGAGGTAATGAATGAAAAAAAAAACAACCACCAAAAACTTAGGAGATGGGCACTGGAAGTAGTAAGGAGCACCAATGAAGCTTGAGAGAACAAAGGCACATTTAATGCACTCCAGTTTCACCAAAGACTGATACTGCTGTACCAGTCACGACTGTCTTTGTAATATTTTGCTCATCTCTGGTAATTTAACCTTTTATCACAGGGTTAATATAACAAATGGAGTATATTTTAAAGTTATGTTCAATTCTATGTTAACAGAAGCTGTGACAGGATTAAAATAAGGTTTGATTGGGCTTGTTTTATTAAACTGAGGTCAATGTTAGTTGGAGTTCCATGAATGCATAACAAATGACAGCAGATTAACAGCAAAAAACGTTGTAACACACACTAAGTGTTCTAGACACAAATCAGTGGGCACTAATAGAAAAAAATAAATAAAAGCAATTCCGCATTTTAGGATGGAAACACTGTGAGCAATATATTTGGGGAAAGAAAAAAGATTTAGATTACTGGTAAGTGAAATCGCTTCTTTAATCCAGGGAAAGTTTTAATAGTATTTTTCAAGTTCGAGTTCAACATGAGTTAAAACAAAAGCAGTAAGGAGCAGGTTTAGACTGTAAACTGCCTAAGACAAGGGATAAAACAAGTTTTAGTCGTCACTGCCCATCACCTTCACTCCCGAGAAGCGCTGTGTGTTTTGTCAAGGCAGTTACGACGAAGCAAGGGAAAAGACACAGGTTTGAGCTCTCTCCTCCACCAACCCCAAACACAGCCTAACTTCCCAACCTTTTCCCGGGGACTTTCAGCAGTCGTCCTCCCTCCAGCCGCAGCCCGCCGAATGAACGCGAGGCCTCGGGGAGGGCTGGGAGGGGGTGGGAATTCAGGGCTGGCACTCGCTCGCCTTCTTTACCATTACAAAAGACAGCTGGGGAAGGGAGGAGCTGCCCCTTTCTTTCCTACACTGGGGCCGCTACACCCCGGCTGCGCCGTGCACGAGATATTACTACCAGGAAGCCCCTCTCGACCTTCCCACTGGAGCCCCTCACCTCCAAGTGCCGCAAAAGCTGAGTAGCGTTCGCCTCCGATTTAACGGCTTTATACTGACTGATGATCAGGAGCAAGGACTTCAAGCAGGCGGTGGAGTCCATTCGGAACCGCCACAGGACGGCCAGGGGGCTACCACCGCCCAGCCAGGTCCAGTCTGCAGCTTTCGCCGCGCTTTTTTTGATTTTTCGGTCCCACCCCCTCAGCTTCCAGAAGCTTCCGGTTCCGGTCTAGCTCCGGAAGTCCCTAGGACTGCTTTTAGTCACGGGAGGGAGTAGGGGAGAAGAGGATGGAAGGAAAGGCGGTACGGGCAGCGAGGTCGAGGCGCTGGAAGATTCCGTGAAGCGGGTTAGGAGCTGCCCTTTGCAGACCCCTTCTCTGAAAAGCCGCGAGGTTTCAGCTTCGAGATCCCATAAGGACGAGAGATCTCGCGAGAAATGTGATCGCAGCTCCTTCAGTGACGGGGCGGTTAGGCGCAAGGTGGTGTTCATCAGGGCGCCGTGCTTTGGTTTGGTTCCTCGGCCTTCACGCTGGATGGCCAGGTTTTCCTTTGTGCATCGGCCAATACCTGAGAAATGGTCGCTTCCCCCTAGTCTAGACACGGTGAGGAGTTCTGAGGAGGAGAAACTTGGGCTCTAGAGTGTGAGGCGGCCTGGGAGGGGTTTCTTCTTAAAACCTCTCGTATGTCCACTCCTACCCAGGAATGTTTGTTCCTCAGAGTAAACCTGTGGCCATGGCGTTTCTGTGGCAAGTTAGTCGTGCCATTACGGTGGTCGTTGTCAAACTTACTTGAGGAAGCTACCTGCGTCTGACTCCGGGGCAGGCATTTGGCCCGGGGGTGTTCTCATTAGCGTCAGTTTTTGTAAGTGAAGACGTCTGTTTTCCTGGCCTGATTGACTGTTGTCTAAATCTCGGTGTCTTTGGAAATGGCACTGTCGTTTGCGGTGTTTGTCAGAGATAATTAATATTATGCATGTGTATATTATGAAACGAGTCGAATAGCTGGTTCTTGAGCTTTTTTTTTTTTTTAATGTATGCTAATGTTGAATAAAGCTTTAAAAACCAGTTTGGAGAAAATTGTAAGAATGGGGGTAAATATCCTTTTAATTAAACTATTTGTCAGAAAGCATGTGTTCTCAATTCAAAGAAAGTATTTTTTTTTTACATCACAACATTTTTAACGGCAGGATTTTAATATTAAAAATCAGTTTTAAAATTAAGTCTGAAAGCTTAAATAATCTAGCCAGTTGAGTCATACATGTAAAAATCATTGGGTAATGAATATATTTACGCATTCATTCATTCTGCAAATAATTACTGAGTGTGTAACATGGGCTAGACGTGACCCGTTAGGGACAAAGATAATGACGTATCCTCTGCTGGGAAGGAACTGTCTAATAAGGGAGCATCCTAAATGGTACCTTTAATTCACCACAAAACTTAGATGCACCATGCAGTTATGGGAAAGAGTGGTGTCAGTAGTGTTTACAAATCCTAGCCCTACCTTTGACTGAGTGTCCATAGGCAGATTTTCACTGCTTCAGTCTCTTCATAAGCTAAAATCTGGCAAACAGTAATACCTGTTTCCTAAGATTGTTCATTCAGTAAATCATTAGAACCTACAATGTGCTAGGCACTAGATTCAGTGAATAAAACAAAAATTCTACTGCAAATAAAACAAAATTCTACCATTGCACTCCGGTAGGGAAAAGAAAAACAACAAATAATAAACACAGTAAGTTAGGGGAAGTGAAGTGGGAAAAAACAATTATTTCTCTAACCTAACAGTGACTGAGAAGGGAAATGAGGTCAGGACAGAGAAAGCAGCATTTGAGGAAATACTTCAAAGAGCCATGCTCTATAGGGGAAAATATTTCCAGATAGAATAGCAAGGGCAGAGACCCTGAAGTGGGAGCCTGACGTGTTTAGGAAAGGCGAGGAAGCTGATGCTGCTGGAATAGATTTGCCAAAATGTCTGCTAAAAAAATTATCAAGTGTTTCCATTTATATATCTTACTTTCCTCTTTAAAATGATTATGCGGTGGATTATGTCACTTTTGTTCTTGCGATAAAAATAGCTTCTTGAGCATTTTCCAAGCACTGCTCTAAGAACTTGATACTTATTGTTTAATCTTCATGATAACTCCATGCTTTAGGTACTTATGCTGTCCATTTTGCAGATAGTATAACTTGCCGTCACATAAGTAGTAATAATAAACCTTCTGTTTGCTATGCTACAACTACTTTATTCAGGATTTTATATCTATGTTTTTCTTTTCTCTCTCGGAATTTGGATTATATGTTACTTTTGAAAAATGAATTGAAAGTTTTCATCTTTTTTTTTTTTCCTGTGCCATAGAATAATGAGAATCACATAGGAATAATCTGATCTTTGTGGATTGTACACAGCTGGCCTATAAAATTAAGCTCGATAGATTATTTAGTGGTAGATCTTTAGAAAATATTTGTATTTGTAAAAGAGTTACCGATTTCACAATATCTTCTCTTTTTTTCTTGAGTTGATTTTGGAAATACTAGAAATTTTTTAGCATACCAACTAGAATTAAAAAATTATTGACATAAAGTTGTATCAATATTCCAATAATTCTCATCTCTTCTTTGCAGTTTTAAATTTTCCTTTTCATTCTAATGTTATTTATCTTTTTTCTTAGTTGGGCTTTCCAGCCATTAGTCTATTTTATTCAGTATTTCTTTTGTTTGTTTTGTTTTGTTGTTAATCCTCACTCAAGAATTTATTTATTTACTTATTTATTTATTTCCTCACCTGAGGACATTTTTCCATTTTTGTTCAGATAGAGTGGGAGGGAGGGAGGGAGGGAGAGAGAGAGAAACATTGACGTGAAAGGGACACATTGAGTGGCTGCCTCCTGCACAACCCCAACTGCAACCGAGGAGGTATGTGCCCTTAGGGGGAACCTAACCTGGGTCTCTCTGGACCTCGGGCCAATGCTCTAACCCCTGAGCCAAACTGACCAGGGCCCCATTAATTTTATATAGAGTGGAAGGGGGGGAGGAAGGGAGAAAGAGAGAGAAACAAACATTGACGTGAGACATATATCATTTGTGGGGGGGGATTCATCCTGCAGCCCAGGTACTTGCCTGTGACCAGAATCAATCCCTTTAGTCTACTGAGGGGCCATTGCTCTAACCACTGAGAAAACTGGCCAGGGCTCATTCAGCATTTTAAAACCAGCTTTCATCTTACTCTTTTTTTTCCCCCCAAAATCACTAATTTTACTTCTTTATCAGTTCCATTCATATACATACATTTTCCCTTTATTTGTTCTGTTGTTTTTTTTAAAGTTGAAAGCTTAGTATATTTCCATAGTATGTTTTTAAATAAAGTCTTTTTTTTTTTTTAATGCCAAAAGAAAAAATTTAAAAGACATTAGCTAAAGTGAGAGTCTGCATTGTATCAGTCAGGTAAATATATATATATATATATATTTTAAATGCTAATATACATTCATTCATCAGATATTTATTGAGTACTAGTTCTTTTTCAGAGAGCTTAGAGTCTGTCGGGGAAATAGACAAACCAAGGTAAGTGCTATTGAGAGAAATAGAATATGCTGTAGGAACACATGATATTTTTTAGGGCAAAATATTAAGTATCCAATTCCTTCATTTTTTAAGGATTGGCATAACATTTCTGTTCTCTGTAAATTTTTATTGCTGTCTGTTTTTTATTTTCCCTAATTTATAGTTCAGGAAACACATTTAAGGGAGGTAAGCAAAAGTTGCTTAGGATCTTACAACTAAGTTTAGTGTTGTCTAGCTCTTTATTTCTTTTGGAAAAACTGAAAACAACAACACCACCTGCTTTAGTACTTTAAAAGCCACCAAGAATGAATGGCTGTTGCTCCTTGTCTAGCAGACATAATCTGATTGGTAGTAGTTAAATTGTTGGTTCTAAGGAACTCACATTAAATATGTCTTGTCTTATTCCTAGAAAGTGTCCTCTTCGTATTATTTTTTAAGTTGTGAAGTGGTTACTACTCATGTGTGATCAAAACATCTCACATCAACTTTAAGAAATTTTTTAAAATTCTTTTGGTAAAAATCTAACAAAAGTGATAACTAATGGTGTCAGAGTTTGTGTTATTAATAGATCCATGAATTTCTTGAGTACATTTAATTCAGTGCTGACCTAGTAAATTCAGCTTTTAAAAAATAGCTATCAAAATTTTACCAGGTTGTAGGTTCAAAGTTGTTTATTGCAGCACGGTTTATAATAGCCAAAAAGCCCCCCAAAACCAACACACACACACACACACACACACCCCAAAAACAAGATACAACTGGAGACAACTGAAGTATTTATCACTAGTGGTTAGAGAATGATATATTTATACAATGGCACTTCATGCAGTTTAAAGAATATGGCTGATGTACATGTGCTGATATGAAAAATACAAGGTGCTGAACGTGCAAACTAAGCTGCCATTTGTGCCATGTGGGATGTATTGAAAAATAGTGTTTTTGTCGCAGTTCTTAAGTATCATTAACATTTCTTTCTGTACAATAGCATTCTCCATCATGTAGAGAATTGGAAGAAAAGTGAACTAATTTTGCTGCAAACTTAAACAACATTTGATGATGATGATGATAGGAACACTTACATAGTGCTAACTCTGTCTGATACTGTTCTATCATATGTTTTAAACACCTAATCTTCATGACAACCCTATGAAGCAGATATCATCTTAATCCCTGTTTTTCAGATGAGAAAACTGAGGCAAAGAGACATTAATTAACATATACAAGGTTAACCCTTGCCATTTTGGCTCAGCAGTTAGAGCGCTGGCTCACAGACCAAGGAGTGGAGCTTAGATTCTGGCCAAAGGCACGTACCTCAGCTGCTTTTGTCCCCTGTCCTGGCTGGGGTCTTGTGGGAGGCAGCTAATTGATGTGTCTCACATCGATGTTTTTCTCCTTCTCTCACACTCTATCCGAGGATAAATGGAAAAATATCCTTAGGTGAGGATTAAAAAACAATTTATACAAGGTTACACCGCTAGTGCGTGTCAAAGCAGTCTTATATACCTTTGCAGATTGATTCCAAAGTTTCTGTGCTCCTAGCTACCAATGTTATATGACCTCTTGTTTTTGGCATTGATAGAAATCTAAATGAGATACTTTATGTCATTTCTCTTTCTTGTAGACAGGTGATTTATTGTTTGTACATGCTACATAATATAAGGATGGTCTTATTTTTCTTCCTCAGGATAATCTGTTTATGTTCATTTAATTAACCTTTTCATTTATTTAGTTAGGTAGTTCTCAACTGGGAGCAATTTTGTTCCCCAGGGGACATTTTGCAACGTTTAGACACATTTTTGTTTGCCAGAATGGGGCCCAGAGAGAGAGTTGCTACTGGCATCTGCTGGGTAGAGGCCAGAGATGCTGCTAAAAATGTGTAGGATAGCCCTGGCTGGTATGGCTCAGTTGGTTGGAGCATCATTCCATATACCAAAAGGTGGCAGGTTTGATTTTCTGTCTGGGCACATACCCCGTTTATGGGTTCAGTCCCCAGTTGCAGGAGGCAATTGCTTGTGTTTCTCTGGCCCACTCTCTGTTTCTCTCCCTCTCTCTAAAATCAATCAAAAAAATTAATAAAAAATAAAAATGTGGCCCTGGCAGGTTCGGCTCAGCAGTTGGAGTGTTGGCCTGCGGACCAGATAGTCCTGGGTTTGGTTCCTGCTAGGGACACATACCAAAATAAATAAATTAAATAATAAAAATGTGTAGGACAACTTCCTATAACAAAGATTTATCCAGCCCAAAATGTCAGTAGTGCCAAAAAAGAAAAACCCTGATTTTAGTGAGCACAAGGAAAGTTCTCAATAACTGGACCCCTGTCCTGCAAAATAGCAAGTATATTGTTTTGTTTTCAAGGTAATAGCATTGAGAAAAGGAGGTTTTGTTTTATTTTTTTTTCTTGTTATTGTTTTTTCCATTGATGTCAACTTTTCTACTTGGGATTGTGCGATCTTTAAGTGCCAGAGCTATCAAGGGTAGCAAATTCATCGTCTCACACATTGAAATATAAACTTGTTGGCCAATCAGAGCCAATAAATTGGTCAGGTGGATATAAAACACTGTACTTATATACAAACAAGTTAGGGAGGGGATAGGAGTCCTCAAGGTACATGTTTAAATGAATGATTAAAAAGTTAAAAATAAGAGCTCTGCCTACTTTAATATGAATAAGCACAGCTTTAAAAATGGGGGAAAATAACCCTTTACAATAAAAACAAAGTTTGTTATAATTTCAGTAGATAAGAAGGAAAGTGGGAGCTGAGAACCCAGAGCAGTAAAAAAAGGTATTTTACTATTATCAAAATATGGATGATAATGCCTTATTTTTCAAACAACCTGCAAATAAAAATCATTTTGGTTGGCGGATAAAGATGTGTTGTAAATGGACATTAAACTTCAGCTTGCCCTTTGTTGGGCCAGCTAGAATCTTACTAGGTTCCAGTGGAAGAGCAGTTCCTTGGTTCCAGGAAGGCAGAGTCAGGTTTTCATTTCCCGCTGATAGGAAAAGTCTATTGCAATGAATATACCAGGGGAAACCAGATTTACCCTTTCTCCCATGTTAACCTGGAGTTTAAAGGTTTCCGTCAGCATCTAGACTGGTAAGAACCTTTGGACTATTTTAGAAGCACAGTGGTAATGTTTCAGGCTGACTACTTCCTTTCTGTTGCTAGGCACTTAGGCATTCCTTCCCAGCAGAGACTGTAAAGTGCTGCTGCTGCTATTATTTCCAGTAGAGTTTGCCACACATACCTGCTCAGCTACAGGAAAATGATGGGATTGATGATCTCTCCTGGACATCCTTTCTATCACAGAGATTCATCTCAGGTTGTATTTTTAAGCAGGCTGAAAAGAAAAGCCATTACCCCTTTTAAAATTCTTAATTGTGTATCCAAATATCTTCTGATTGATTAATTTTACACCATTTTATTTTTCAAGCTAAACAGTGAATAGTTTAGCAGAGGCCTTCCATCCTCTCTACCTTGTTGCCAGAGGATTTGCCTCGCTTCTTTTTAGCCTCCCTGTTGTCTGTGCAAACAGTCCTGACTGAAGGCAAGCTTATCAGAGGGGGAGGTATTCATGTCTGAGCTTTTAAATTCTGGAAAGGAAGGGATTGTTTGTCTAGATAAGGCTTATGTGTGTATGCTCTGGGTATGGAATAATGCCTGTAACTTTTATTACAGTCCTAGAATTCTCAAAGCCATGTCTTTTTTTTACACTGTATTTAAGAGATGAAGCAGATCTGACTTTTCTGTTAAAGAATAACAAGGTTTATCTAATCTCTCTTTGCTTCGTTATTAGCTTTAGGTTATCTTTCACTGGTATTTGAACAGAATGCAAATTTAAATAGGCATATGACTTTGCTTACTCAGGTTTAAAAATAAGAATACAACTAAGATAAAATAATTTACCTAGGAGAAATAGATTCTGAATAGGTAAATAATACTGACAGCAAGAAGTGTTTTGTTAGGAATGGGCAAGAAACTAAGAGGTGTTGTTAGAAAGCTCTGTTTTAAATGAGAAATTAGCATGTATGAATCTGCATTTGTGTTTTGATTAAGATGTATCAGCTAGCATTAAATTATTTTTGTCTCAAGACTTTCTGTGTAACTGAGAGCTGCTGTGAGTCAAATACAGACTATAGGTTGTATTATAGTCAGGGGTACTTGTTTAGTAGATGATTCCTTCAGGATTTTGTTTAGCCTTTAGACCAGGAACTTAGTTGTCCCACCCTGTTAAGCTTATGTGTGACAGGATACTCAGATCTCAAGGCTTAGGAGGGTTTAAGTACTACAGTTCCTTCTTCCTCTCTTTGTGTTGTTCTTTTCTGGCTATTAGGGAGACTGGACGTCATGTGAAACAATATCTTTGAGTAAAATACAATCTGAATTCTTTTTAAAATCTTTTTGTTTGTTTTATTGATTTTGGAGGGAGAGAGAGATAGAAACATCAGTGTGAGAGAGAAACATGGATCGGCTGCATTCTGCATGCCCCCTACTGGGGATCGAGTCTGCAACTGGGCATGTGCCCTGACCAGTAATCGGACCAGGACCTCTCAGTCCAGGGGATGATGCTCAATCCATTGAGCCACACTGGCCGGGCCAATCTGAATTCTTAATAGGTGACTTACAAATGATCTTGTGAAATACATCTTCTTGATTTGGGAATTATCTATGCTGAATTGCCTTTTAATGTGCCTCCAAAAGCTCTACCAATCTAATGTATGGGTGTATATTAAATATATTTTTAGAGAAACTAAAAGCTACCCAATATATGAGATACATTAGCAATCCAGAGGCAACAAAAGAGAAACTTTACCCAGTGTTAGGTAGCATGCCCAAGGTACTCCAGTTCTGTTTCATTTATGCTATTGCTGCTATAGTCTTCTTTTTCCTCATCATCTTTTACTTTGCCCAAAGCATTGAAAAATAGTTTTACATATGTTTGCTCTATCAATTCCTGGGCTTATGTACAGTGGGATCAGAAAGGCAAATCAGCCTAGCAGAAGGCAAAGGAGTCTGGAGGCTTGTACTCTTTTTTTTTCTTTTTTTATCATCCTCACCCGAGGACATTTTTCCATTTTTTGTTCAGGTAGAGTGGGAGGGAGAGAGAGGAACAGAGAGAGAGAGAGAAACATCGATGTGAAAGGGACACATCGAGTGGTCGCCACCTGCACAACCAACCAGGGCCGGGGACAAACTGCAACCCAGGTACATGCCCTTAGTGGGAACCGAACCCAGGTCTCTCCGGATCGCAGACCGACGCTCTAACCGCTGAGCCAAACCAGCCAGGGCGAGGCTTGCACTCTTAGTAAAAGAGATTATATGGGACTAAATTGAGAAGAGTTGTTCTTGGGCCAGTTAAATAGAAAGCTATATAAATAAATAGATACACTAATGATGCTATTCTAAACTATTGCCCTTTTTGTTTTCATTTGTGTTGCCTCAGTATTTTTTTTTTCTTTCAGGAAATATTCACAACATGCATTGATATTTGAAGCAGAGAGTATGTAAGAGTTCTTTATATCACACCTTTCTTATTTTATGGAGTATCCAATCATTTGACCTTGGGGAAAAGTGGCTACATGTTATTTTTTAAGTAAAAGAAAATAACAGTCAGTGCCATCAAGATTGTGTTAAACAGGAGCTTTCATACCTATGGGAAATAAATTAGTACAGACCTTTTCAGAAGCCATTTAGCAATATACAGGAGGCTTAAAATATTTGTGTCTTTTGACCTAGGAATTCTACCTCTGAGATTTTATTATAAGGAAATAATCGCAAGTATAGAGAAGGCTTATGGACAGTGGAGTTTATCAAAATACTATTTATAATAAAACAATGAAAAACAATGAAAAACAATCTAAATGTCCAACTGTAAGGAAATAGTTAAAGAAACGCCAATCAACCAACTGTGTAGCCATGGAGAATGATTACTAGATGTATAAAATCACAAGAAAAGTGCTTTTGATATAGTGTTTAGTAAGTGTAATAGGTAGTATAGAGCATTGTCTAGTCAATATGATTACAAATTGGTAAAATATACCTATGCTTGGGGAAAAAAATAATAGTGATTTATATGTTTGGATGATGAAACTGATTTTTGTTTTATAGCAGTTTCAAATTTTTCTTTAATGATCATGTACCACTTATATACTAGGGAGAAAGAATGTAGTCCTCCTACCTTTTCACTAAAAATGCGGCTTTCCTTACAGCTTTAAACAGCAATATTAAAAGTGAGTCTGCAAGCACTGGAAAAAGACTTTTGCAAAAGAACATTGTACATCATGGATTCTTTGCCAGAAGATTTTTTTGTGAGGTAAGGGATGGATTGACAAAAGCCAAATGCGTTTGTTGTATTCCAAAGACAACATTTGTCTCTTCCATGTAATTCTATGAAGCTAGTGTGAATTAGATAATCTTGTTTTTCAGGAAAGTGTAGCAACTTTGATTAGTGGGGATATAGACTGGGTGTAATCTAATTTTAGAAAATTTCTTTAAGGACCACACCCTGGCTGAAGAGCCAAGAATTGAAAAATGTACCACAGCTTGTAATATTTGGGGCAATTTCAAAAAAATGGATCTAGTCTTTGCCAGGCATTGTTTTAAATGCTTTTACAAATGTTAACTTATATAAACTGCATAACAACTCTGTGAGGTAGATGCTATTATTCTCATTTTATAGAAGGTAACCTAAGTGTAACACAGAAGACTTGATGGAGTGGTTCAGCTGGGTCCAGGCAAAACTCCATCTGTTCCCTCCAATTAGGGCAAGTTTAGCCTGCCTATACCTCTCTCATATAATGCTAAACAATGGGTTAGTATTGGAGAGCTCCTGCCTACCTTTAGCTATCTCATATAATAAGCATTGTGATCTATTAATTTATTTTACAAGTATTTACTGACCTTCTTGGTACCGAGGGAATAAAGACTAAACAAAATTGTATACTTAGAATTATAATGTAATAGAAAGGTATATAAAAAGTTATTTTATATTTAGGCAAAATGCATATATAAGTGTTACATTAGAGATGCTGAGGCTATATAAAAAGAAAGAAACAGTAATTATTGACTGGGGTGGAGTGGGTTTCCACAGGTGATGTTTGAACTGAACTGTAAATGATAGGAAGCATTTTGATGGGTGTAGAAGCAGAGCTGATGGGAGATCATTTGGCTAAGGCAATGGTAAGAAAAAGTACTTTAAGACAAATTCTTGGGGAGCATTTTGACTTTTCCACTAAAGAGTTTAGCTTTATTTTGTACAGAGCCATTGACATTTTAAGAAGAGAAATGGCCCTGGCCAGTTTGGCTTGGCGGTTAGCGTATTGGCCCTCGGACCAGAGTCTTGGGTTTGATTTCCAGTCAAGGGCATGACCAGTCGGGGTTGCTTGGGAGGAAGTCAATCGATGTGTCTCTCTCACATCAATGTGTGTGTCTCTCTCCTCCCATCCCCTCTCTCTCCCCTTCTCCCACCCTATCTGAAAAAAATAAAAAATCAATGGAAAGATATCCTTGGGTGAGGATTTTTTAAAAAAGAAGAAAAATGACATTTTATACTATATTTTGGAAAGACTGCCTGTATTGATAGTGGAAGAAATGGGATGATAAGACATAATACTTGTAATAGCTTAGGAAGAAGGTGATGGAGGCTTGTAATGGTAGGAATTGGAAATAGTAAGAAAGGAGGGATTTATAAAACTAGAATGAATAGAATTCTATAACTGCTTAAATATGAAAAAAGGGGCAAAAGAGAAGTAGAGCTGTCTCAAAGGTTCTTAATGACCAGAAGGAAATTGTACTATTGACTAATATGGGGATCTCAAAAGGAGATGGGCTTAATGTGTGTGTGAGAAGCAGAGAGAGGACATAAAATGAATTCAGTTATGAGGAGATTGAGGTGCTGCTAAGATATTCTTGTGGAGGCTGTAGAGTAGGTAGTTGGAAATGTGCAGCTATAGCTTCAAAGCAATTAAGGCTGGAGATAATAAATTTGGGGATCATTAGAATGGGGTGCTATTTGAGTTCATGGAAGTTTGCTCACTTATTTATATTCATTCATTCAATAAATACTCGAGCACCTACTCTATGTCAGATGTTGGGCTAGATACTAGAAGGTAATGAATAAGAAGGACCTGAACCTCTTTTGAGAGTATTTTATAGATGGCATAAATGAGATTGATTTAGGTAGAAAATGTACTTTAAAAAAGTGGGAAGGGGGCGCTAAAATGGGAACATTACTAGATGTACTATGTATATTTCAGGATATATTGTTATAGCAAAACTTCACCTTCTCCCAGCCCCAGAACAAAGTTTACAGGTGGAAAAAGTAGCTCAGTAGCAAAAGAAAAATAGGAGTCTTGTGTCTAGTTTTAGCTTTGCTACTTTCTAGGTATATGTGTAACTTAAAACAAGTTATTCATTGCCCAGTTGGTGTCTGGTGTGACTCAGTGATTGAGCATTGACTCATCCACCAAAAGGTTGCCGGTTTGATTCCCAGTCAGGGCAGATGCCAGGGTTGCAGGCTCGATCCCTGGCTGTGCAGGAGGCAACCAATCGATGTCTCTCTCTCTCTCATATTGATATTTCTCTTTCTCTTCCTCCTCCATTCCACTCTCTCTAAAAATCAATGGAAAAATATCCTTGGTAAGGATTTAAAAAAAAATCATTTTGGAAAATGAAACAATTATAAGGTCGAGAACCTGAAACAAAAAAATCAAATGATCTACTTAATAGATCCTTTCTCAACCTTTATTTTCTTCATAAACACATACACACAAATACATAAAACAAAACATCAACCTTTTTTCTTTACGTTGAGCCAGTGTTATAAAGTTAATCCCCCCCCCCCATTATTTTGATCTACTGTGTGTCTGTTTGAAGGTGAAGCTTTTTACATCAGTTTTCTGTTCTCTACCACCGTCCAGTTAGGGCATGGTATAATTTATTTGTGTCCCTAAAGAGATATGGCACCTACCACCATTTATCAGTCTTTGATACACATTGTTTACACTTTTGAAACTTTCAGACAAAAATTTACTTGTTAGAGTTTTTATTACTAAATTTAATTGTGTTTGTAAGGTGATGCCCTGAATACACCTTTCTTTTTTATTTAAAATAGGGATCCTCCTGTGGAGGAGCAGACTAAGAAAGAAACTGAGAATAAGGTAGAAAAATCAACTGATCAACTGGTAAGAGAAAATTTAATTTTTATTAACCGTTAGTTAATTAATAATGACTAGTTATGTAGAGAATGTATTGCTAAATCTAATTAGTTTAATTTTCTTAAATTTTTAGGATAAGTTCACTGTCATACCTTAATAAGTAAAATTATATATTACATGTATATATTTATGTAATACACAGAGTATTTGGCAAATATACATATGAAACAATATCAACAAATCTAAACAAATGTATTTCAACAAAACAAATCTGTTACATTTTTTTGATTGCTTGTGAAATTATTTCTGATCACTCGGTATATAATTCTTAGAGCTTTTATAGTAACAGAGATAAATCCTTAATAAAAGTTCTCTGGTTATAAAATAGTGAACGTTAAAACTTGCATAAGAAAGCTATAATAATGTGTTCTTATGTATTAAGAAATTGGAAAATCAAGGTCAATTTATCTGAACACATTAAATTATTTATTTATTTATTTGTTTGTTTGTTTGTTTGTTTTTGTGAGAGATGTTTCTTATTTTTCCCCCATTGACACCCTCTTCCCCTTCCCCCCAACCCCCATCCCCAGTTTTGTTGTCCATGTTCATTGGTCATGCATACATGCATGTAAGTTCTGTGGTTTATCTCTTCCCTCCCAACACCCCCCCCCCCCCAGGGCTTGTCAGTCTGTACCCCACCTCTATGTCTCTGGGTTAATTTTGTTCATCAGTTTGTTTAGTTCATTATATTCCACAAATCAGTGAGATCATGTGATATTTGTCTTTCTCTGCTTGGCTTGTTTTGCTTAGCATAGTACTCTCCTGGTCCTTCCATGCTATCTCAAAGGATAAGAGATCTTTCTTTCTTACAACTGCATAGTATTCCATTGTGTACATGTACCATAGCTTTTTAATCCAGTCATCTACTGATGGACACTTGGGTTGTTTCCAGATCTTAGCTATTGTAAATAGTGCTGCTATGAACATGGGGGTACATATATTCTTTCTGATTGGTGTTTCAGGCTTCTTAGGGTATATTCCTAGATGTGCAATCACTGGGTCAAATGGCAGTTCAATTTTTAACTTTTTGAGGTAACACCATAGCGTTTTCCACAGTGGCTACACCAGTCTGCATTCCCACCAGCAGTGTACGAGAGTCCCCTTTTCTCCACACCCTCGCCAACACTTGCTGTTTGATGATTTGTTGATGGCAGCCATTCTGGCAGGTGTGAGGTGATACCTCATTGTTGTTTTAATTTGCATCTCTCTGATGATTAGTGATGTTGAGCATTTCTTTATATGTCTCTTGGCCATTTGTATGTCCTTTTTGGAGAGGTGTCTATTTAGGTCACTTAGTTGTTTTTGAAATTAATTCTCTTCCCTGTTTTTTTTTTTTTTACTGTTAGAATATCCGATATTCAATGAATGAAAATAAATTATATATTAATATAAGGCTTTTACTGCCAGTGATAATATACTTTATGGTTAATTAAATATGACTATCAAGTGTTTATAGTTGATGAAGTCTGAATTAATAGGCTTTATATAATGATTGGTTTCCACTTAATAAAGTTTTTATGAAGAGAATTTAGTAATTTATGAAGAGAATATATATAAACATAAACTAACCATAGTATTTACTTGCATGAGGTTGTTACCATAAAAATTTTTGCAGAGTAAACACAATATGTGCAAATGTACATAGGGATGCATAGTTGAACCAGGGGAACTAAATTCAGAAAAGACATTTCAAGATCCTGTTTTGGGAATACAGAAGGGAAGGGAGGTGGAAACTTTGACCTGAACTTAATTTGGGTGCTAAGTCAATTTGTAAAAATGGATTGAGCATCAAATATTTTGACAACTAACTTTAAAAAAATTTAAATTGTATTTATAATAAGATATATTTATAATAAGAATTTTTAACAAGCATGATGCTTACAGTATTTCCTGTTGAAAAAATTTTATTTATGTCATAATCTTGCTTGTGTATCAATTTTGTAATTAGTGTTAGATGATTAATGATTCTGTGGTGACTTTTGCCTGCAGAATTGGCCCTTAATTTGAAATATATGCACTACTGATAGTGGTCATTCTTTATAAGAGCTTGGCTAGTTACTTTATGGAAGTTCTTTTTTTAACTTTTTGAGAAATTTCAAACCTACAGAAAAATTGCAAGAATTATACAACATACATTTATATACCCTCCAATAAAAATTTAGAAGGTTTTAAATTTTTTTTAACATTTTTGGATATAATTTTCATATAATGTAGTGCTATAAAATGTAAGGTGTATTTGTTGGGTATTGTTGGAGATGGAGGAATCTTTATTTAAGACTAAACCCACAAGTAGAGAGTAGGCAGATAGTTCTGCAATGGACTTTATTGATTCCTAGTTATAGTCAGAATCACCCCACACAAGGGCATTTTCAGTGACTCGAGCCTTACATGTCCTCTGTAGTAAGAAGCTGTTCTGATGTTCAAAGATCAGAATTTATAATAACATTCCCTATAGTAAAACTTCTTGAATTTTGGTCTTAAACTTCCTGCAGTGTTGTAAGTTCCTTGAGAGCAGAAGAATGTCTTCATCTTATTTAGATTTTCTGTAGTCTGTCACAGTGATCTATACACAGTATATAAAGGCACTTTGCTCTTTTATTTTTTTAAACTACTTTGGCTGGTTTTAATGTTAGCCAAATATAATTATGTAAATTTTTAATAATGTCTTCTAGGATAAACAGGAAAAGGACACACCTACTGAACTTGTCCCTGTTAATCTACTATCAGAGGTGAAGAAGTTATTGGGTGCAATTAGTAGTCTACCAAAAGGTGTGGTCCCTCACATTAAGAAGTTTTTACAAGAAGATTTTTCTTTCCAAACTATGCAGGTAAGATCATGATTCATTCATTGGGGCAGAAGTGTAGCTTTCTCTCTGTAACTATCTAGGAAAACACTATGTTCCTTTACTCTCATACTGCTGCTACGTTCACAGCACTTCTGCCACTGGATGTGTAGGTTTATTCCCACAGTGATCAGTTCTCCAAGGCTAGCTGGGTGTCCTACAAGTCATTTCAATTCTGACACCATCTACCTAGAGTTTGCATCAGATCCTACAAGTTAAGGGTCCATTACCACAAGACTACCCCTACTTCAGATGCCATTCACCAGCCCTAGGTTGTCCCTGGTACTTCTGACCAACTGGCTATAAATTGGGGTTATAACCCCCTCTTGGTTGCAGTGATTTATTAGAACAGCCCACAGAACTTGGGGAAACACTTATGTTTACTATTTTATTATATAATATAGGTAATGATAAATAATGCAGATGAACAGCCAGGTCAGGGTCTGGAAGGGTCCTGAGTGCAGCAGCTTCTGTCCCATTGGAGTTGGGGTATGCCCTTCTGGCATGGGGATGTGTTCCCTAAACTGGAAGCTCTCCAACTCTTTACTTTTAGGATTTTTATGGATGCTTCATCATGTAGTTATGATCAATTATTCATTCAAATTCTAGCTCCTCTCCAGAAGGGCCTAAAAGTTTCACGCTTCTAATCTTGGCTCGATCTTTCTAGTGACTAACCCCTATCCAGGAGCCCACCAAGAGTCACTTCATTAGAACAAAAGACACTTCTTTCACTTAGGAAATTTTAAGGATTTTAGGTGCTCTGTGTTAAGAAGCAGGGTCAAAGACCAAATACAAGCAGGAACTAGAGTTAGAGATGAATATATATGCCTTATTTTTTAATAATAACTTTTTTTTTTCTTTTTAATCACATGTGTGCAACTAAAGTCCTAAAATCTCCACCATACTGCTTGTAAAGGGCTTAGTGTCAACCTTGACTATAGACTTTTAAAATTAAATAAATAGAGTTAGTTGGTGCTAGCCTTTGAAGAAGAATGGTAGGGATGTTGGTTAGTAGTCTGTAAGCTGTTGACTATAAGGTCTAGTATTTATTCTAATTCTATTAATAACCCATAACATGCAACTCTGGGAGAGGGGACTGCATACAGTTTTCCTAATTTTTAAAATGTTGACAAATATTTCAAAAATGTAAAACAATAATAATCTCCAAAACTTTTAGATTCATGAGTAAAATATTCTAGAGCAGTGGTTTTCAACCTTCCTAATGCCACGACCTTTTAATATAGTTCCTCATGTTGTGGTGACCCCCAACCATAAAATTATTTTTGTTGCTACTTTATAACTAATTTTATTACTGTTAAGAATCGCCATGGAAAATATGTGTTTTCCAATGGTCTTAGGCGACCCCTGTGAAAAGGTTGTTCAACCCCCAAAGGGGTCACGACCCACAGGTTGAGAACCGGTGTTCTAGAGACTATATTATAGATTTCTAACTTGCAAATAATTTTTCTGGATAATTTGTGAAATTTTAAGCACAAGATGGGTATCAGTTTTTAAATTAATGGAGTTTTCCAAAGCTAAAAAAAATTATCTACTCTTTTCTTTCTAACAATTAATTGAGGAGAAGGCAGCAAAACACCATAAGGCCACATTTGTCTTTTCTGTGAAAAAATATATCATTAATTATTTCCATGAAACAAATTAATACTATTATGATTTAAAAGTCAAACAAACTCTGAAGATATCCAAAGACTTTATGTACAATTATAACCTTAACTGAAATAATTTGCCACAACATGAATTCTGGTTTGAAATTGATGGAATAATGCCACTATTTTCATCTTATCTTATGGAGATCACCCAGAAACAATAATAAGAAATAGAAACCAGTAGCCTTTATATATGCAAACAATAGCTAATCAAAGGTAAAAATGAAAGAAAAGTAGTTATTTATAATAGCAACAAAAAATAAAGGTAAACTACTTAGGAAAACACCCAAGGAATATATAAGATTATAAACTAGTATTTCTCAAAGTTTTTCCTAAGCCACCTACATGAGACTGTCTGAACCCCATGCTAGTCCTAAAGGATCAAAATATCTCGGGTTAGGTCTAGGAATGTGCATTTTAGCAAGCAAGTACCCCCCACACACTGATTTTCTTTACATTAAGTTTAGAAATCAATCTCTATTAAAACAATAGATGAAAATCTCTAAAACTCTATTAAAGGTAAGAAAAGACCTGAATGGAAAACAGTACATGTAGGAAGATAAAATATGATAAAGCTGACTATTTTCCCCAAATTAAAACGTACAAATGTCGTATAATTCAATAAAAGTGACAGAAGGATTTTTATTATTATTACTAAAAGCTAATTCTAAAGTTCAAATGGGAAGTAAAAGGAAGAATGGCCAAGAAAATTGTGAAAGAGAAGTGTATGAGAAAAGGGCTTGGAATTTGCCCGCATAGATGTTAAAACTTATATGGAGCTCTAATAACTAAAATACTGTGTTACTTACTTTTGACTCTACAGACAAGTCTAGAAAATAGAAGAGAAACTCCAAAAGTAGACCCAAATACATATAGAACTTTTATGTATAAGATGACAAAAATTGATAAAGCTAAAGGGGAAATAGATAAATCAACAATTCTAGTGGGAGAGTTTAACATAACTCTCTGAATACCTGATAGAACATGGACACAAAATTAGTAGAGCTATAGCAAATTTGATCTTGCTGACATATGTGTGTGTGTCTATATATATATAAACTCTGCACCTAATGGTGGCAGGATAGTATTTACTATACAGTCGTCCCTCGCCAGTTTGCACTTCGACTTTCGCGGCTTCACTCTATTGTGGTTTTTTTCAAATATAGTATGTATACATTCTTTTTAAGTGCACACAGAACATTTACAAAAATTGACCATGTGCTAGATCACAAAGGAAGTCTAATCAAATTTCAAAGAATCAAAACATAACAGAGCATGTTCTCTAACTATTGTACAATTTTTAGAAATCAGTAACAGAAAGATAAACTAGAAAGCCACTGTTCTTAAGTTAAAATGTCTACCTTTAACCTAGGTAACCTATGGGTCAAAGAAGAAATCACAATGAAAATTTTATAAATTTTTGAACTGAATAAAAAGTATGTATATCAAAACTGTGTTATTAAGTAAAAACTGTGCTTCCAGAAATATTTATAGCTTTAACTGCATATATTAGAAAAAGAAGCAAGATTGAATACTAATCATCTAAATATAAAGTTCAAGAGGTTAATGGAAGGTCAGCAAATTAACAACGAAGTCTAAAGAATGAAGTAATAAGATAGCTAAAACTAATAAAATAGAACAAAACATGTAATAGAGGTCAGTTAGGCCAAAATTTGTTCGTTTGAAAAGACCAATAAAATTGATCAGTGCCTGTAAGAATTTTCAAAGAAAATGAAAGAAGGTAAAAATAACCAAATCATAAATGTGAACATGAAAACATTAATAAAGATTCCATAGTCATTTAAAAGATAATAGAGAATTCTGCTACTTGTAGTGGCAGCCTGGATTGCTGCAGGGGTGGGAACGTTTTTTTTTGCCAGGACCATTTGGATATTTATAACATCATTCTTGGGCCATACAAAATTATCAACTTAAAAATTAGCCTGCTATATTTGGTTAGGCTTATTTGGTAAGGCATGTGATGTTAGCTGGTATTGATTTTGAGGGCCATATATGTTCCCCGCCTCTAACTTAGAGCAACCTTCCTTTGAGAAGAACTAAAAAAAACTGGACAAAACATTTCTTAGTAATGCCTATTTGTGCTTTTCTGGCAGATCATTTAATTCAACTAGGGACTGAGATGATTTCAAGCTTTACTTCTTTTCCATGAAGAAGGGTCTATTTATGGTTTATCTTTTGTAGCAGATACTATCATTGTTCTGCCCATAAACCTTGACTTCTGTCATTTCAGTATGCTCTGGACAGTCTCCAGTTTTCAATATCTGCATCTCTACCTCAGGCCTTTATTTTTTCTGGAACTACAGAAGGCAGTTAAGAAGTCGTAAGGAATTAAAATTCCCCCCTGCACCCTAGAAAGCACTCAATCAATAGGCCTTGGGAGTTTCTTTTGTTTGTTTGTTTGTTTGTTTTTTGGTATGTGCACATAGCAGGAACCCAACCCGGGACTCTGGTCCGCAGGCCGATGCTCCAACCACTGAGCCAAACCGGACAGGGCAGGAGTTTTTATATAAATATTCCAGTACCCTTTCTCCTTGAGTTGGGTAATAGTGAGGTTTGTATTTTTACTGTTTCTCAGTTTCCTTGTTATATTAACCCCAGTTGCCCTCTGTGGGTAACTGGCTTAATAACACATCCATTAATTTAAAGCCTGCTTTCCCTTCCCTGTATCACTTCTCCACTCCTTGACTGTTGTTCTTTGCATGTCCCAGGTAAACTATGTGCATTCAAATCCTAGGGTTAGGGTATGTTTCCAAATGGAATCAACACACTCTTAGGTTACAACCAAAAGAATGAGGTGTTTACCAGGGCCCCTCTTCCTTGATAGATCATGAACTCAATTTTCCTTCTAGTTTTGCAAGTTTGCTGAAAGTTCTGCCTAACATCTCGGCCTCAGCCATAACTGAATACAATAATTGCCTTAAGGATAAAAGTAACTCCAAAAATCAGTCTCACATTTCTGGACTTCCTCTCTCTTGCTTGTTGGCCCGAGATTTTCAGTGCCTTAGTAGTTTTCCATTGCTTTCAAACAAATGGTTTTATATTTTGTCCAGCTTTTTTACTTACTGTCATTGAGATGATTGATCTGAAACTATTTAGACTGTTTGGCAGAGGTGGAACTTCAGTTGTTACACTTTATATGCCTTTTGAAATTCAAAATACATTGTTCAGGAAGTGGTTGGATGTATGAGTCTGGAATTCAAGTTACAGTTCTGAGCCGGAAATATATTTTTATTTTATTTTATTTTTTTATCCTCACCCGAGGATATTTTTCCATTTTTTGTACAGATAGAGTGGGAGGGAGAGAGAGGAAGGGAGAGAGAGAGAGAAACATCGACGTGAAGGGACACATCGAGTGGCTGCCACCCGCACGACCAACCAGGGCCGGGGACAAACTGCAACCGAAGTACGTGCCCTTAGCGGGAACCGAACCCGGGTCTCTCCGGACCGCAGGCCGACGCTCTAACCGCTGAGCCAAACCGGCCAGGGCTGAGCCGGAAATATAAATATGGAAACTGTCAGTGTGTAGACATCTGTTTGAAAACATGAGAGTGGATTATTTTATCCAAGGAATATGTGTTGATGGAGAAGAGGTTTGTTAAATTGAGTGCTATGGATACTGAAATAAAGCATCTAGTTAACTAGGAGAAAAACAGGAAAGTATTGTATACTGGAAACTAAGTTAAGAAAGTCTAAATTAAACTTCTCACAGATGATACATCACTAAACAGATAATGTAATGTAAGCCAAGCACTTGTGGGCACAAGGCATTGGAGAATGAACACAAATATAAGACACAGTCCTTCCTTTTATTTCATCCATGTAAATACCAAACTATGGTATATAATAAATCATATATTAGCTTGGTTCCAATCAGATTGCAGTGCAAGATGGCTTACTTTGGTGTTGGTATTAAAGCCAGCATTCTTCCTTACCACAGGTTTAGAGTTGGAAGGAAGATTTTAGTTATGCTAGAGAGCAGAAGGTATGAGAACGAAGTGGGATTACCACTTTTCTCTGAAGTAAAAGTGGATGTTGCCAACCCTTTGGCAGGTATAGGAATGTTTTTTAGTGTTTTGAGGAAATAGTTACAAAGATTTGCCAGACTACTTAAAAACAAACAAGTATGAGAGTTGTATCTGGGTTGTGTGAATTTTTAAAAAAAGCATCTTTATATCTGTACTTAAACTTTTTACAATGAAAATATATTATTTGTGTAATAAAATATGTAGATATTTATTCTAACTTAAGGACATTTTCAACTGAATGATTTTTCATAGAGAGAAGTTGCATCTAATAGCCAGAATGGGGAGGAAATTGTTCCTGCGTTGACTTTACGTTTCTTGATAATACAGCTGGAGGCAGCACTTAGGAACATTCAAGCTACTAATTATACTGTAAGTGTTTTGTTTTTGAATGTTTGAAATAGTGTATTCACAACTTTTTCAATGAGAGAATGGCTAATGCATGCTAACTTTAAGGTTTAGGTCAATTTTCATTTTCCTCTTTTACCTCTAGAGAAAGGTACATATAAATTGATTTTCTTCCTTTGTCTTGTACTTTCTTATGACTAGAGCTTATTCTAGTCCCCTTTCCTGCCACAAATTTTTTTGTTTATCTTAAAGAGAAACCTGAAGTAGTAAAAATGGGTTTTCCAATTAGAAATGGAGAGTCATGACAAAATCGACTCCTTCCTTTCCCCTGAAATATTAATCAGCTCCTCTTCTGGTAGTTCTATATTTGTAAAAATTGGTACTGCTATTATCTGTTATTGAGTTATCATCAGGTAAAATTGATAAGATATAATTACATGGTCAAGGTCAAATGATAGTTTAGAAATAAATGGAAAAATCTGCATCAAAAATTAGAACCAGAAGTACAAGATGCTAAAAGGATAAATCAGTTCTTTGAATAATTTGGATCAGTAAAGTAAACCCAGTTTTACACCCAGGTAGATGGTGGATTAGAGTTATCCACAAGAAAGGACTACCCAGGCAACATACAAGGTAGCATAAGATACCAAATTCCATATTATAATGACCTATGAGCTTGTGGAAAAATCATTCTTATTTAGAACCCTTAGGACTAGGGTTCTAGGAGGTTGTGTACACCACCCTAAAGGAGTCCTAGATGGATACAAAAGAGGGACAACATATGTATTGTATGATCTTTCTGGCCAGAGAAGCCTAGTAGAGACTTGGTGCCCAAGGTTTTTATTGGGATTGGTGGTGTAGGCACCCTTTGCCTAGCATGTATAATAATTTCTAACTCCCAGAAGAAACCCAGGTTTTCAGCATAAATAACATTGTTTGCACAAACAGTTTAGGAACAGTGAGCCACCCTTGTCAGTCAGAGAACAGTGGAAACACTCCTGAAATCCAGGACCCCAGACACCAGCAGTCAGTCTTGCAAGCAGGCCTTCTAAGGAAGACAGTCTCAGGCCAGCTATGCTGACTTTTATGCATGGTGTGTATTGTTCTGTGCCATTTTATTACAGGTGTTTGTGTAACCACTACCGTAGTCAAAATAAAAGAACTATCACATCACTACAAAAATCTCTTTTATACTACCCCTTTATAGTCATATGTACCCTTTGCTCTCCTCATTCTCCCTAATCACTACCCTTTTCTCCATCACTATAAATTGGCATAGACCATTTATAAATGAAGGAAATATCCTGTTTTACTTTTTAACTGAAAAAGTGGCAAGCTTTATGTTTATACTATTATAACAAAATGTACACATGGACAATAAAAAACTTTGATTTAAGAGATCATTGTATTTTTAAGCTGGATAGTAGATACTTAGGTGTTCGTTATATTATTACCTAAAGTGTTTTGATACTTGAAATATAAATGAGAGAGTGAGAGAATTTTTTGAAAGTTTTAATATAACAAATATTGATGGCATTTGCTTTCATTTTCTTTAATGAAACTCTCATTTTTATTTCAGGATTATTGACTATCCTCTTCTGGGTCAAATTATCAAAATCATCTAAAATGCACTCTATAGTTATTATTAGATGACTGATACTATAATGATAATTTTACTATTTTTAATAATTACTAAATAGACCTAGAATATGTAATTAACCTTGCTAAAGTTTAAAGTAGCTTAATCTAAATAACCAATTAAAATATATTTTATCTTTTTAGGCACATCAGATTAATATTGGTTATTATTTGACATTACTGTTTTTGTATGGAGTAGCACTCACTGAGAGAGGAAAGAAAGAGGTATGTAGAATTTGTTATTTGCCCATTATAAATTTTTTTTATATATTGACCTCAGCCCTGGCCGGTTTGGCTCAGCGGTTAGAGCATCAGCCTGTGGTCCAGAGAGGCCTGGGTTCGGTTCCCGCTAAGGGCACGTACCTCGGTTGCAGTTTGTTCCCGGCCCTGGTTGGGTTGTGTGGGTGGCAGCCACTCGATGTGTCCCTTTCACGTTGATGTCTCTATCTCTCTCTCCTTCTTCCTCTCTCCCCCTCCCACTCTATCTGAACAAAAAATGGAAAAATTTCCTCGGGTGAGGATAAAATATACATATATATATATATATATATATATATATATATACATATACATATATATACACACACACACACACACCTCATTTTAACAAATTAAAATGTTGATTTTAAAAATTCTCTTAAAAATTTAAACCACTCAGTGACTTTTCATTCATATATTTATAATATAGAAAAATTATGCCAGAGACTACTTTGTGAAATTGAAAATGTTGATTGGGGAAACATAATTTTAGCTTATAACTTTAGTTATTTTATTTCCTTTAAATACCATTTGTATAAAACAGAAAATGGTTTAGCATCTTTCACTTATACAATTCCTTTTTAATCCATTTTCTAGTATAGCTTAATCTCTCTGGTCCTAGTTGTATCCCTTATAAAATATGAGTTTCACTTCAAATTCTTTGTTGAATAAGGTGAAGTGCAAAAGGCAAATATCTGGGAGTTAACTAGGTGATTTCTAAGAGTCCTTTAAAATTTAACATTCTCTTTTTCATGATTTTTTTTAATGATTTATCATAATTTCTTTGCAACCATGATATTTCTTTTACTTTTGGTCTTCAGAAATCTATACACAGTACTTGCTAGTTAAAAAATTAGAAGATTTGTGCTCCAATTAGAAAGAAAATTAAGAATTATAAAGACATGCTCCCACAGTCATCAGAAAAGCCCTCATTTTAGCTAGTAATGTTTATCAGTTTTAGAAACAAATTGTTGTTGTTTTTTCTTTTTTTTTTTTATTATCCTCACCTGAGGACATTTTTTCCATTTTTTGTACAGATAGAGTGGGAGGGAGAGAGAGGAAGAGAGAGAGAGAGAAACATCGACGTGAAAGGGACACATCGAGTGGCTGCCACCCGCCCAACCAACCAGGGCCGGGGACAAACTGCAACCGAAGTACATGCCCTTAGCGGGAACCGAACCCGGGTCTCTCTGTACTGCAGGCCGACGCTCTAACCGCTGAGCAAAACCGGCCAGGGCTGTTGTTTTCAATCCTCACTCATTTTATTGATTTTGAGAGAGAGAGAGAGAGAGAGAGAAACACTATGTGAGAGAGAAACATCTCTTGTACTTGCCTGGACTAGGGATCAAACTCGCAACCTTTGGTGTATGGGATGATACTCCAACCAACTGGGCCACCAGGCTAGTGCTGTTGTTGTTTTAATGTTCACTTTGAAATGTTGGTCAATAATATCTTATTTTGTAAATAAATATTTTAAGCATATATGATCACATACAGAGGTGCTAGGATTAGAGACTGGATCAATATGGAAGTTTCCCAAACTTCTTTTTTTTTTTTTTATCCTCACCTGGGGACATTTTCCACATTTTTGCTCAGATAGAGTGGGAGGGAGAGAGAGAGAAACATCGACGTGAAAGGGACACATCGAGTGGTCGCCACCCGCACGACCCAACCAGGGCCGGGGACAAACTGCAAGCGAGGTATGTGCTCTTAGCGGGAACCGAACCCAGGTCTCTCTGGCCGCAGCCGACTCTAACTGCTGAGCCAAACTGGCCAGGGCTCCCCTAACTTCTCTAGTTTAGGAAATACTTGTTTATTGTAAAAGGAAAAAAAAATGCCTTTATGTCAGCCTAACCTAGTTTAATGTTCCTACAGGATTATACAGAAGCTGAGAATAAGTTTCTAGTGATGAAGATGGTGATCCAAGAAAATGAAATTTGTGAAAACTTTATGTCTTTAGTTTATTTTGGTCGTGGTTTGCTTCGATGTGCTCAGAAGAGGTAAGGATTTTAATTAATGGGTATATGTTCCCTGTCAGCTTTCTGCATTGTGAAATGGGAATAAAATTTGACAGTATACCAGGTATAATGACATTTGTGCTAGACTGATTTTTTTCTTCTTCACCTATTTTTATAGATAATAATTTCTTTAATGTACTTGAGAATATTAAGTATCAAACTTAACAGGTCATGACAATAAGCGGCAGTATAGCATAGATATTGAAACATAGGCTTTGGAGTCAGACAGTTCTGGGTTCCATTATTAAGGTTTTCTACTACCTAACCTAATTATTGATCTAAGGAAACTTAATGTTGCTAAGCCTTGTCTTTTTTTTTGTTATTTGTAAATGGAATTAATAGCAGTGCCCATCTGATAAGGATGTTGCAGGTGATTAACATAGTGCCCAGGACACAAATGATATTCTTAATAAATAAATGATGGTTGTAGTTATGTATTAATATTATCACCACTTGGAATAGGTATAAATAAACTTGTTTAAGGTATAAATGAACTTAGAAAGCATTCAAAGGGTCCAAATGCTGAGTTTTGGGAGTGTTGCATATTATGTATTTTGTGAAATTGTACAAGGTAGCCTATATGGACTAGCAGTCTGTTCATTCCCTATATGGAGATCCTTAGCTATTTGTAACATCATTCATTTTATTTGCTAAGCACTTATTATATTTTAGAGACTTGTAAATTTGGGGATATAATTATTTACAAAATGGATAGTTCCTGTTCTCATGTAACTGATAATGTAGATATTAACAAAATAATAAGTTATGCAAAATAAGTATGAAATGCAATAAAGAACAATGAAGGAAAATACAGTGAACAATAAAAGATTTCTGGAGCCCCAGTCTGGTTCTGGGAATCAGAAGTGTGTCTGAGGAAATAATGTTTGGCTGAAATCTGAAGGGTGAATTAGACAAAGTTTACTTATGCAAATCCTTATGAAGGATTACTGCTTGGCTTGGCCAGCCATTGGATCCTAAATGCATCACTATCTGGTCGTTCTCTGATTCTTTGGTTTATCTTCTATCCTTTGTCATGCTTGCTTTTTACTAAGGTATCCAGGAGATTTCTCACTTCCTGTTCACTAGTATGATGTCACCAATACTAGTGAACAGTGTGATGTTTTGCAGAATGTTAGAATGATCAAAATCCCTTTAGTTTACACTGTGGAAAAAACATAGCTTTGTGACAAGACAAAGAATGTGCACTGCTATCCTTCCTTCAGATATGTGAATTACTTTTTATTCTTTACTTGTGGACATTGGAGAGAATCACTTTTTCAGATCATTGACACTGGAAAGCCCAGTATATGGCATCATTTACTTTCATCCCCCTGACCTATAGAAAACAGCCACTGCTGGCTACCCTTCTCACTCTGTATTTTTTATTGTATTAATGGATGGAATGTCATCTAGGTCTTTCCAGGAGACATTACCTAGTGGTGGGCTCTGTGGCCTTATGTACTAAGTCCTTTCTAACATTTTCACCTTCCTGAGCTTTCTTTTAACACTGCCAAGAAATTTCCAGCATTTCCACCCTCAGTTACTATAAGCCATTGTTATGTTCAAGCTTCAAATAACCGTCTTAGCAGCATGTTAGGACTGGTTTCAGGTGTCCTTGCTGGGAAATTAAATCTTGAATTGTGGAAGAGTTGTCCCATGTCAATACACATGTCCCTTTCTAGCTATATATTTGTCCTCTGGTTCAGCACTCTTAATATTGACCGCTCACAAGTTAACTCATATTTGCATTTGCATTAGCTATTTCAATTTTTGAAACTTAGGGTAAACACTGGGCCTCAGGTTTTGAAACTCAGGATTATTGTGTTTGTGACTCTTCACCCTGAGGGTCGAAATTAGAACAACAGCACACCTTTCTATATTTTTAAAGTAGCTAGGGAATGAATATCTGCTGGTTCAAATGAATGCAGCTCAGAACCTAACACTTCTGGTCCTTCTAAAAGAGCTCCTTACATTGATTCACCGTTTAGGCTTTCAGGGCAACTAAAAGACCACGTCTTAGAAAAAATAGTCACTGGTATAAAAAAAAATCCAATGAGAACGTGTAAAGTGTGTTTCAAAAGGTAATTGCTATACAGTATACCACACCAAAAAAATTACTATAATATATAATATGTATAAAATATAATATGTAGCAGATATATACAAAGTTTCATTTAAATTTATTATGTATAAATAAAGTATACTGAAGTTTATTTAGATTGTTTCACTTTCATATGCAATTATGAAAAAATGCTGATGACATGAGATAACTTCTGCTAAAATTGCTGGTCAACAATGTGTTAAGATTCACTTCCACATGTTCCTGCCAGTATGTACTAGTCAAGTTCTGAAATTCCCATAAGTTTTTTCTCCCTGTGCAGGGGCTTTGTTTTCCCATTTGGACTCTGTTTTTACCTAATCCTAGCTATATTAGTCTATAGGCAATGAGTGGAGGTAGGAAGGATCTTGAGAAGGAAGGCATCATCTTTTGAGACATATACCCCAGATGATATTTTTGTATGGTCCTTAAGTAAAGGGAATCTGCTCTCCTCTAGCAAGGAAGAGGTCTTTGCCAGCCAGAGGGTTCAGGGGAATTTAGGGATTCATTGTTTCTAAGCATATTCACCTAAATGTCCCCATTCCAGATCTCAGAGGTTACTTGTTTCCTGTCAGAGCCCTGATTTTCACATAATGGTCCTGTTGAGGCTCTGCTTTTGGTATTTGTTGTTGTTCTTCCCTTATGATTAAACACTGGGCCTCATTTTCAGCATTGTTTGTCCTTATGTTTAGGGTTGGTAAGGATTCTTTATATGTTACCATAGAGGCCTTTTATCCTGAGTTGATAGCAGTAGTCCTGTTGAGGTTATGCATTTCATCTCTTTTATGGTTTGTTGCACCTTGTGATTAAATTTGGGACAGATTTTTAACACAGAAGATGATGGTCTCTTTAAATGCTGCTATAGAGACCTCTGTCTTTCACAATGTGTCCTGAATCAATAGTTGGCTGACCTATGCCTGTCATTCTCTTTCTTCAAGGCTTCCAAGACAGTAAACAAAAGCCAACCAACTCTACAATCCCTTTAATTACCATGGTCCCCATACTGTTCAAGCTTGAGCTACTACATAATCTATTGTCTCCCCTTCCACCTGTATTTCATCCCAATCTACCACAGGTGAGAGTCCTAGTATTTGTATTTCTGTAGCATGCCAGAGGTTATCACTACCCTATTATCACTACCCTGTTATCACACACACAATAATTGGGTTACTTGTCTTATTTATAAACTATTTAGGCACATTCAAACTAACCTTATTTAAAATGCCTTGCAGATATAATGGAGGACTGCTAGAATTTCATAAAAGCTTACAAGAAATAGGAGATACAAATGATCACTGGTTTGACGTAGATTCTTTGGAAGATGAAGATTTACCTACAACTTTTAAAGTAAGCAATTAAGAATAACATTTCATTTCTGACTAATCAGAATCATCTTTGATAAAGTGCAGTTTAATCTTAACTATGTCATATTCTATAGCAAGCACATTTTATTGGAAAGTAGTTTTTTATATAAGAAACAACCTTGATTTCATTACATAGTGCGGAATGTAAATATGAACTCTACAAGTAGAGAGAAATGAGGAGGCTGTGTTAGCATTTCCAGATAACAAGATTAAAAGCTTTGCTAGTCCAGCTCTTTACTGAATGCAATAGTTAATTTCTTTTTTTCAAATTATACTTACCATTATTTTGTTGTTGATTTAAATTTTAAAAGTACTAAATGCGTCAGAAAATTTTAAAAATGTAAAAATGCCTGAAGGTAAAACCAAAATTTCTTCATATTTCTTTAAATGGAGAAACTATTGTTAGTATTTATAGTTTTCTAGACACTCATCCTGCTATTGAATAGTTAGTTTATCCCAAACATTTCAGTTTTTCACTATTATGTAAATTAATCTTTGTGTATTTTTTACACCATTTTCTTAGAATAAATTTGTAAAAGTGGAATTGTGAAGCAAGTGTTCACATACTTGTAAACTTGCTGATACATATCTTCATATTTTCTCTCAGAAAGTTTGTACCAGTTTATATTCTCAAGACAGAGTATGAGAGTTTCCATATTTCCATATCCTCTGAGTATTCTTTGCTTTTTGGATAATTTTTTACCTATTTCATAGGTCACATTGGTCACTTTTTAATTTGTTTAATATGAACATTAACCACAGGTTTTTCTTGGTTAGTGTTTGGATTATATACCTCTTTCCAAACGTTTACTTTAAACCTTTTTGGATCCTTTTATTTTAGCTGACTCTAAGACCAAATGCATTCCTCAAAATAAAAAGAGATCTTTCATTAAAATACAAAATTCAATTTTCCAGGAAGCTATAGCAACTCAAATTTTGTAATATAGCCTCAATATAGAAAAACTCAAATCACAGTAGATTATTTTAATATATCTATTTTAGTAATCAGTAGAATAAATAGATAGTTTTTGGCATTTGTTAGGATAATCATATGACTTTTAAATTTGACCTAATAAAGTAATATTTTTTTTTTTTTTTATCCGCACCCGAGGATATTTTTCCATTTTTTGTACAGATAGAATGGGAGAGAGAGGAAGAGAGAGAGAGAGAAACATCGACGTGAAGGGACACATCGAGTGGCTGCCACCCGCACGACCAACCAGGGCCGGGAACAGACTGCAACCGAAGTACGTGCCCTTAGCGGGAACCGAACCCGGGTCTCTCCGGACCGCAGGCCGACGCTCTAACCGCTGAGCCAAACTGGCCAGGGCTAAAGTAATAATTTTATACATTTAAAAAAAATTGAACTCTGTATTTATCTAAATCCCTATGTGGTCTATGTTGTTTTTCTGTTTTTCCTCCTCCCTTTAAAATGTTTTTCTTTAATATTTACACTTTTTTGTGAACTTTTATGCAAGGTAGTACATGTATGCAGTTTGTCAAATAATATTAAAAGGCTTAAATATTAACAGTCCTTATTCTTCATCTCTAATTGTAGTTCCTAACCAGAGGCACTTCTTCAACTCTCTAGGCATTTTGATATTTATCTGTATCTTTTTTTTAAAAGATACACTGCTATTTTAAGAATTTCTTCATTTTAGATATCTTTTGAATTCCTCCTGTAGAAGATGAGAGTTTAGTAGCTTTCTTATATATCCCCTTCACACAAACACTTTCTTTTTTCTATCCTACTAATAGTTACAAGTTTTTATTTGATTGGTCTTAGGGTTTTTCTTTATTTCTGGGAATATCCTTTACCTCTTTCTTATATAGAATCCCATTTATTGGAGCTCAGCATTTTCTCTTTCTAGGTGTACTTCCTTGTTTTGGTGGTATGCCGCATCAAGCAGCTTTTAAAAAGGGTACTTGCTTAGGAAGTAAATTTTTTTGAGATGTTTCAAATATCAAAATAATTTATCCTTTGTTTACTTTATTTATATCTTACCTGGCATAGAATTATAGGTTGAAATAACTTTCCTTCATTTAAAAAATTTTTTTTATCCTCACCTGAGGACATTTTTGCATTTATCTTCAGATAGAGTGGGAGGGAGAGAGGGAGGGATAGAGAGAGAGAAACATCGATGTGAGAGAGACACATCGACTGACTACCACCCACACGACCCCAACCGGGGCCAGGGACAAACTGCAGCCATGGGACATGCCCCTATCAGGAACAGAACCTGGATCTCTCTGGTCCGCAGGCCAGCGCTCTAACTGCTGAGCCAAATCAGCCAGGGCTCCCTCATTTATTAAAAGTATGTTTTTATTATTTTCTAGCTTCTAGTAATACTTCTGAGAAATGTAATATTATTGTGATTCTCAGTCTTTTGCTTGTAACGTGTTTTATTTTTATTTTTCTTTCTGGAAGATGTATCCCCAATGATCTGAACTAATGTTTTTTTGGTTGTGGGACGTTTTTCTGATTATTTACTTGATGAGTTCTTCTGCATTTTCTCCTTTCTTTCTGAAATGTTTATTGCTCAGATGGTTAACATCATGAACTGAATCTGATTTCCATATTTTTTCCCTGTTTTTTATTTTTTGTCTTTTTGTTCTACAGTCTAAGAGATCTTCTCAGCTTTATCTTTTTGCATAGGGTTGTTATTCATCCAGCAGACACTAAATGCTACTATAATGTTAAAATATTTCTATACTGTTTCAAAAATAGTTGCTGCCATGAGTTGCTTGAGTACCCAGCCACAGTTCCAGCTGCCCTGGACTCTCTGCCTCCCCCTCTCCCCGTATGTCTCTAAAATCTAATAACTGAGGATTTCTTGTCTGATAGAGCAAAATACTTCTATGATCCTGCTTTGACTCTAGGCCAGCATGTTCTTCTTAATCTGTTGTTAGGTGCCTATGCCTGTCAGCCCACCGAAAGTCCTACTTCCCAGACACTGTGATTAGTGTTCTTTAGCAAACCTACAATGCTAGCCTCTTCCCTTTATGTGACACTGAGGAATTTCAGGTGGGTACCACCAGAGGCCTGCTCTGCCCCCAAACGCTTCTATCCTCATGTCTCCTTAAATAAACTTACCATAGTGGGGGAAGATAGTACCCCTAGAGATTCTGGCATTCTAGCAGGGCAGTGTCCTTTCAATGTTGTTATTTATTTATTTTTTTTATCCTCACCCGAGGATATTTTTCCATTTTTTGTACATATAGAGTGGGAGGGAGAGAGAGAGAGAAACATCGATGTGAAGGGAGACATTGAGTGGCTGCCACCCGCACGACCAACCAGGGCCGGGGACAAACTGCAACCGAAGTACGTGCCCTTAGCGGGAACCGAACCCGGGTCTCTCCGGACCGCAGGCCGACGCTCTAACCGCTGAGCCAAACTGGCCAGGGCTCAGTGTTGTTATTTTTAACATTACCCTGTTTCTAGCCTTCTGTTGCATTTTAATTTTAATGATTATTTTAACTATTAGCTACCAAAAAGTGTTTGTTGTTTTTTTTTTTTAAATGAAGGATTTTTATTTTCTTTTTTCTTTTTTTTTAAATAACTGTCCTGTTCTTTTTTCAAGAATGCGTAATATATTAGAGGTAAATGTTAGCCATATCATGGAAGACCTTATAAGTCAAGTAAAGGGCTCAGGCTTGATCTTGAGGGTAATGTGAAACCCCTGAAGACTTTGAAACAATGGGATAATGTAATCAAAGTAAAATAAAATATGAGTTGTAGAATTTACGACATTGAATAGTTTCTGTATGTTAGGGTAAGGAAGGAGTTAAGAAAGTTAGAAAACTAATAGTTACAAGTTGGAGCTAGTGTTCTAAAGAGAAAGAAGGGACTAGGAGAGAAAATGGAGAGCACATACACAGACACACATATATACCTGTGTGTCTCCATATTTATCTATGTGTATATGTATAAATGCATGTGTGTCTGTGTGTATAGTGGTTAGGCAAAGCCTCTCTGGGAAGTATTATTTAAGTTGGAACCAGAAAATTGAGAACTGAACTAGCTCTGTAAAGAGTAGAGGGAAAAACAGTCTAGGTAAATGAAATAGTGTGTGAAAAGGCTCTTTTAGCCTTGAAGATCAAGTTTGAGGAACTGAAAAAATAAAACTCTTAATTTTTATAGTGAGTGAGACTAGAAGTGAATTTGAAGAGATGCATCACAGATGGCTAGATAATTGAGTTCAATTTGCAGGTTCTGCAGGACCTGGCAGTCAGTTCTTAGTAAGGGTTCTGGATTTTGTTTTAAGTACATTGAGAAGCCATTGAAGGACTTTAAGCAAGGAATTAACATGATCTTTCTTCTGCACAGTGCTTTGGAGCAGAGTATTCAGGAAAGAGGGGGACCAGTTAGGCGTCTATTACAGTCAATAATCTATGTAAGATACAAAGTGGTAGCAATGGAGATAGAAATGGAAGAATTTGCAATGTATTTTGGAAAAAGACTCAATAGTACTTCCTAATATATTGCATGTAAAGAAAGGGTGATCCATTATGCAATGGATGACTTCAAGATTTTGGGCTTGAAGCTGAGTAGGTGGTGGTAGATGAGATTGATATCCATGAGGGCTAATATTAGCCTATAAAGTTCACTGCTATATCCGTACCATCCATAACAACCTGGCCCATAACAGGCAGTCAGTAAACATTTGTTGAATAAATGAATGCCAAAGACTGGGTGCGTTAGATGAAGAATAAGAGACAAGGAATCGATTTGGTAGAATCTATCAGTAGATCATCATTGAACGATCAAGTTTGAGATCTGTGAAATTGCAGTGGTTATACATGATACGAGTTCTGTTCCTTTGTTTTTGGCATCTCCACTTGGCTATTGGCTATCCTGATAGGATCTACCTTTATACTGATAGCCCTGGAATACTTCTCTTTTCTCTAATCTTCATATCTGATCAATTTAAAAATATGATTGCCACTGTACAAATGTTATGAATGGTGACTAGATTCATGAAGTAGTCTATAGAGGCTTATTTATCATGTCATGTATAAATAACATATATTATTTCAGTATATTAGAAATAATACTGTTTGAAATCTTGTAATACCCCTGTTAGGGAAGGGATATAGTAAGGACCTGATTTAAGGACCAATTTGATTTAGACTTGAAAATGTGTTTCACCTGAATTTCATTAGCATTTTAAAATAGAAACTTGCATTCTGAGTTGAGCATTGGAAGCATATTTTTGTATCCTACTTTTGCTCATTAAGACAGTGAGTGCCATAGTGTACCACTGCGGTAGTTCCACTGCCAGCACAGTGTCTTGGGGGCCAATTCTAGCAGACTTTTCTGGCTTCTAGTGATTTCTTGTCTCTCTGTATATAGGTATCATAGCAGGTAATTCTTGATAGGAACATGCTAGGTATTATGCTGTGTAAGTTAGGATGGTGACATGAGATATAGCTCAAATATAGACTTTTTTCCTTTCTCCATGTTTATAGTTAATAAAAAATTCAGTATTTCTATTTTAGTACTTTTCTTTCTATTGTTTACTTTGGATGAGGAAAATACATTCTATTATTATTTAAAAACAAAAACAAAAACAAAAACTGCACATATAATGCCTTCAAAAAGGTATATTACTTAAATTACTTAAAACTCCACATGGTAAAAAATTGGAAGTAAGTCCAGCTGGTGTAGCTCACTGGTTGAGCATTGATCCTTGCACCAAGAGGTCGGTCGCTGGTTCAATTCCCAGTCAGGACACATGCCCAGGTTGCAGGCCCGATCCCCAGTGGGGGCATGCAGGAGGTGGCCAGTCGATGTTCTCTCTCATCGACGTGTCTTCCTCTCTCTCCCTCTCACTTCTTCTCTCTCTAAAATCAATAAAGGAAAAAAAAATTTTTTTTTAATTGGCAGTGATATAGTCTTATTGTTACTAATTCATAAAATTTATTTTTATTTTTAAAATCTAGGATCTTCTCAATAATTTTATCAAGACAACTGAAAGTAACATAATGAAGCAGACCATTTGCAGTTATCTAGATTGTGAACGATCTTGTGAAGCTGACATTTTAAGGAACACCAGTTATAAGGTACTATCATTATCAATTAACTGAGTATTTTTAAAAATGTAATTATAAAATTGAACTTAGATAAAAATTGTTGTATTATGCATCAAAATAGTATTGAAAAGAGCGCTTAGTTTAATTACAGTGGTAATGCAGTAGAGAAGTTGTTTGAGTATCTCTGAGAACTTAGAATCATAATGAGCTAGAATTATTTATACCCTGTGAGTCAATAAAAGAATGAATTTGTTTTGCTAAGGTTTTTGTAATATTCATATCTCTGAAGTTATAATTAATATTTCTGCTATCATACAGTGGAAATTATCTAGAATATTCCTCATAGTTAGAAATGTTATTTTGTGATCATTTATTTAAAATTTATTTTACTAAGGAGAAAGGTTGTCACTCATCAAGAATTATGTTACTAAATAAGTCATCATTATCTCTGCTGTGGGCCTTGGGGGAGAAAAAAACATATCTAGCCTTGATTTGAAGAAATTCAAGAATCAAAATACTTCAATTCTAGTTCTCACTGGATCTGTTAGAATAAGACTGGGAAATCACAAGATAAAATGAGATGAGATTATCAGTGCAAATCTGACACCACTTCTATAAAATAATAGAAATCTCAGTTGAAAGGCATGTATGTCTGGAATGAAGCATGTAGTGAGGAGGGCTGCCTGATAAACATCTGTTTGTGGGAATGACAGCTGGGAAGGTTTTTATATGTGCTTTTGTTTGTTTGTTTTTGTAAAAAGGAAAACTCAAAATGACTGAAAGAATACATCCTCCTCTCTCAGGTTTAAAAAAATTTTTTTCTTTTATTGATTTTTAGAGAGAGAGGAAAGGAGAGAGAGAGAGAATCATCAATGAGAGAGAACATTGATTAGCCACAACCTGCATACCCCACACTGGTAACTGGTCTTACAACCTGGGCATGTGCCCTGACCGGGAATGGAACCAGCGACCTCTTGGTGCATGGGTCAGTGCTGAACCACTGAGCCACACCGACTGAGCAAAAGAATACATGTTATATATCAATTTTCACAAATAAAGTTGGCTATTATAATGGAAAAAGAAGAGAAAGGCATGATGTGTATAGCAAATGGGGTAAATGGGGAGGAGGAGAAAGCCAAGATCTTACTTATTAGGGTAAGTTCAGAATTAGGAAGGTGGGCCTGGTGAAGTATAGTGTTTACAGTGGGGCAAGTTCAGTCTTGGTGTAGGTGACATGGTGATATGCTTGTGGTTTCCCAGGGAGGCATTAGGGTTTTAATCACACGGATAGCATGTAGCAGCAGGAAGTCCTGGTCACAAAATTTAAGTTTTTGTAGTCCAAGCAATCTCCCTGTTTAAAAGAAGCATAGCTGTAGTTCCAAGGGAGGACACACTGGAAAGCACAAGAAACTTGTAAAGTTAAAAATGACTTATGGTGGTATTTTCTGTATATACATGAATTCCTCTTGCATTTTTTTCCAGGGATTTTTTCAATTAATGTGCAGTAAAAGCTGCTGTGTTTATTTTCATAAAATTTGTTGGAAAAAGTTCAAAAATTTAAAATATCCAGGTGAAAATGATCAGGTATTTTGTTTTTCTTTCAAACCTTACTACATTTCTTTCTCTACCCTTTTCTCTCTTTTTTCCTCTTTTCCTTTCATTTCTTTCTATTCACATCCTTCCTCCTCTGTTTTCTTCCTCCATTTTATCTTTCGTTTTCTTGGATGTTTTTCTTTTTACTATTTGTTCATCATTACCACTTATTAAACAGATCTCTGTGGGGGATACTCTGCTAATTGCTTTGCTTAGTGATTTCTATCAATTTGTTCTTTTCCCTATAGAAGTTTATAATTTTAAGAATAGAAATATTGTTGCATATATTCACAAAGAAGACATAGAATCGATTAATAAGCAGAAAGGACAATTATACAATTTTTAAGGATAGTTTCTATTTTAAGGGTAGAGAACAAGGATACATTTTATAGTCTTCAAAAATCTATTTGTGATTAGGTATATTTTTCTAAAGTCATATAACAAAATCAAATTGTTTGCCAGTAAAATTAAAGTAAAAATACAAAGTTCAATTCTATATTAATTACTCTTTGGTGAGCTGATGACTGTAAGTTGGGTCTATGATATTTTGTCCCAGAGTATTTACATTGTGCAAACAGAAAACTCCAATAAAGCAATTATGGTGTGGAAAGAGCATCATATGTGGAGTTGGGAGATCTGGTTTCAAGTCCAGATTAAGTCACTTATAGTTTTTTTTCTTTTTCTTTCTTTATATATTTTTTTTAACATTAGGCTGGTAATTTAACTGCTCTGAGACTAGTTTTTCTAAGCCATAAGGTGAGGATAGTAATACCTACTTTATAAGGTTATTGTGAGGATTAACAGATAAACCATGAACTTGCATTGTTTTACACTGCAAAAATCATTGTGTAATAAAGCATTATTATTCCTTTGTTTAAACAGCATGTGTTTTATACTTTCTTTGATTGTTAGAGCAATCAGTATTGTTCAACTTTAGAAAGAAGGAAAGGAAAAATAAGTATCTTAAGAAGATATAAGGTCAGAATCAGAGAAAGACTCAAAATTTTGATTCTTTCCTTTTTCCTGGAATCCTCATATATCTAATAGAAATTCAGTATTCCTTTATACACTTACCTAATTAGTACATTTTACTAGAAGTTGCTTTCCCTATGCATAGTGACTACATCTTAGGCTGTAATATAGCTACATGAAGATTTTGAAGTAGAAATGGTGAGAAAAAAGTTGAGTCATACATTTTAAATACGAAAGCCATTGATTGCTAAATGAGATGGACTATTTTTGAACAGTAAACTCCCAAATGTTTATTCACATCTTTTGTTTTACCATCCAGCAATATCTGCTTCTAACTTTATTTAAATATAATTAGATTTGCACATCAGTAATTTTTAATATTTTTATTGTTTTTTTCTTTTGATAATTTATTGTGGTTTTTTTCTATTGATAACTTTAGAGTTTTAGTGGGAAAAAATGTTTGAAGGAAGGATGTACAGGTGACATGGTAAGGATGCTACAGTGTGATGTACCTGGAATTGTTAAAATTTTGGTGAGTATCTTTTTCTTATTTTTCTTGCTTTCTCTCATTGTAATGGTATTTTTAACTTAAGCATATTTGGGAATCATAATAATAGTATTTTAGCCATATTCTCTTTGATGGTGATTAAATTCTCTGGTATTTCTATTGCTTTGATTTCTCCAAAGTAGTATTTCCGTGGTCCTTAAGAATAAGACAATTCAAAAAATAAAGACACATGCACACACACCCACAGCAGGCCATGCCTGTACCAATGAGAAGTCTGTCATGAACCAAAGATGATAGTCTAATCTGTGCCACCTGATGTTAAAAATACTTTTAGACTTTCTGACCCTCTTTTAGTCTATAAACATCTTTCTATCAAAATACCTATGGAAATCACATATAGTACCTGTTACATAAAATGTGCTCAAATGATATTCCTTTTTTTTTCAATTACTGAAATACTTGTTGCATTTTCGTTTTATAAGTACATAGACCAAAATTGTGAACAGAAATACATATATTAGTTCCTTATCCTTACATTCTTTTTGTATTTCAGATTTGGCATATAAATCCTGTAGTGATGTAAAGTTGAATTTCTAAGATAGCTCTAGTTTATTGTTTGATTAGAATTGCTTATGGCTCACTGACACTCTGATTTGTTTTATATTTGTCTGGCTTCATTCTCATTGTCTGTTTTCAAATGTTAAGGCTAACTGGTAATAATAAAGAATTTTGAAAATTGAACTACTTTAGGGCTATTTTTTTCCATCACTTACAGTTTGAAGTTGTGAGAAAGGATGAATTTATAACCATTGAAAATTTAGGAGCAAGGTAAGCTTGAAATAAAATATTTCATAATTTTTCTCAGCATGTATGTATTTTTCAGTTGCTTCTTTCTTCTGTGTTTCTGTCAGTTGTTGGAGCTCTATTAAATTAAAAGGTAATATTAATTGTGTGAAAAAATTATATCTAACTGATAATTTATTTCCCCCTCTCCCTACTTTGTAGACATTCAAATTCTAAAGCAGGAAAGGAGAAATTTATGTGAATATTTCACCCTTAAGTATGAAAATAATCTTTCCCTGAAATCAAACATGTTATTTTGTTGTTAATTCTCACCTGAGGATATTTTTTTCTACAAATTTTTTAGAAAGAGGGAGAAATCGATGTGAGAGAGACACATCAATTGGTTGCCTACTATATGTGCCTTGACCAGGACTGGAGATCATACTTGCAACCCAGGTACATGCCTTTGACTGGGAATTGAACTGGAAACTCTGGTGTGAGGGTTGACGCTCTAAACACTGAGAACACCAGCCAGGACAAAACATATTTTTCTTAAAGTTATTTAATTGGTTTTATGATATAAAAACTTTCTCCTAATTTTCAAAACTTATTCAGGCCTCTAAGCTTGTGTGACAATTAGAATTGTCCTTTTGCTTAGATGAGAAAACTGTACCACAGAGGAATATATAGTATAAGCAGGGAATTCATAGAGGTATAAAATGTGACTATTGAAATTAGAAATTTTGATATAAAACGTTCTAGCCTATTGATTCTCTTTTCTTTGACTTAAAGTGTTAATTTCTACCATTTTTCAATCTACCAGGGATATTGCATTGATATCTAAGGCATTAAATAATCCTTTATGAGCTAGTGAAACCCAAATCTTAATCTCTAGCATAGATCTCACTCCTAAAATGTAGGTCAATATACCTGTATGCAGAAGATATCCATTTTTATATTTCAAAAAGATTTATAGTTCAGCATGCCTACAACTGGACTTGTAATCTTTCTCCTCAACACTGCTCTGTAACATTTTTTAAGGCCAGTCAATTTGACTTATTAAATATATTGTAAATTTGACTTATTAAATATATTATAAATGCCTCCTTAGGCCTCTGTACTTCCACTAAACTAGATGAAGTATTATTTCTCACTTGAAATTCTGAAACAGGTTCTTAACAGGTCTTACCTTTCTTCAGTCTGTTGTTTACATAGACATCAAGAGCACATTTCTAAAATGAAAATTGAAATATATCACTTTTCTGCTTGAAAATCTTTCAGAGGCTTCTCATTACTCTTAATTATGTTCAGACTCCTTAGCTTAGCTCTTCAGTCACTTTGGTTCCTGCTGACTTCATTAGTGTCATCTCTTGTCATCTTTTCTTAATTAGATATATACACCAACTATACTGAGCTTCCTTTAGTTCTTGATTATGCTATCTGTTTTACCTCCAAGCCTTGCCTAGAATACTCTACTCCTTTGGCTTTGCCTGTTTAAAGCTTCTGGAAAGCCTTATTTACATTAGATTAGGTGTTTGTATCATGTATTCCCTCGACTTTTGCTATTAAAACATATACCAAATTTCCTTATGCTTTCATGGCTATCTTGTTCATTTAACTGTGACCTCCATGAGAGCAAGAATTTTATCTTACTTACTGCTGTAATCCCAGAACATAGCATGATGCTTGTTATACAGCATGTATCCAGTAAATACAGGGGAGATGTAGAGATTCTAAATTCCATTATTTTGCAATGGGTATGTTACTTTTTGTTTTCACAGGCAGTTAACTGGGTGATATGAACTGTGAACTCTTTTTCTTGGGTGGTGGTTCCAGTCTCAGTTCAGATCTTTTACCTTTACCTGGGCTGCTCTGAGTATAATCTACATGCTTGGTTCATTAGTCAGTCAGAGATGTGGATAGAATTTGGGAATCTCTTCTCTGACTCTTTCCCTTCTAGAATTCCCCCACTCTCTTCAGCAGCCATGGTTCTGTGGCTTCAATTTTCTGGTACCTTCAGCTAAGGCAACCTTTGTTTTCTACCAGGCTAGCCTTAGCCCCAGGCTAAAGCTCTAATATTGGTGAGTTTATAAGCTTGTTTTATATAATCCTTTCCTCTGAGTGTGTATCCCACCATCAGAGTTGGTCTTTTCCTTTCACACTGCAGTGCCTTCAGAGAACTGCTTTCTGTAACTTGCCTAGGTTTTATAGTTGTTTTCAGTGGGAGATTTCTCTGGTAACTGGATCTTATTACTAAAAGTGGAAGAACTACTTCATGGGGTTTTATGAACGAATGGCAAAATGTTTGGTTACTTTTTATACTCTATTGTTATTAAAATATACATAAAGAAAAGCTCACAAAGTATAAAAGCATAATTTAACAAAAATTATAAAGCAAACACTCTTGTGGCTTGTTACCACATCCAAGTCAACATACAGAATTTCCCAGCACTCCAGAAGCAATCAATGTGCCACTGTCCCCCAACTTCTGTTCTCCCTAATTAACTTAGCCTCACCTTCTGTTTTTATAAAATATAGCTTGAAAAACCTGACCTATAAAAAACTTCAGTGCTTAAAATTACATTTATAATTAGTAAGGAAATTTTCTTATAAATGCATTTTTAAACACTGAAGATTTTTATAGGTCAGGTTTTTCAAGCTATAGTTTATATACAGTGAAATTTACTCTTTAAAAATAAACATTTAAATGAATTTCTTTGTATAAAGTTGGGTAACTACTACCATGATTGAGATTCAGAATATTTCTATTATCCCAAAAGGTTCCCCAAAAATCTTTTTTGTATGTCATTTCACTCCCCCAACTTCCAAACCCTGGTAACCACTGATAGGATTTCTGTCCTGATAATCTTGAAAAAACCCTGACATTTTTCCAGACTTTCCTATAGTAGGATGTTTTGAATCTGGTTGTTTTTACTTAGCATAATGCCTCTGAGATCCATCTGTGTTATTACATGTATCAGTATTTCATTTTTATTTGTTGCTGAGTAGTCTTTTATTGTACATATATACAACTTTTTTTTTTTAATCTTCATTGTTGAATGTAGACTGTATTACAGAAGTTCCTCATTTTTCCCCCATTGACCCCCTCCTCCCGCCTCCCGCCTCTTCCCACACTGTTGTCTGTGTCCATTGGTTATGCATATAAGTTCTTTGGTTTATTTCTTCCCACCTTCCAACTCCTTTCCCTTTGAGGTTTGTCAGTCTAGCAATGAATTTATACTTCTTAATCCCTTCACCTTTTTCACCCATTCCCCCAACCCCCCTACCATCTGGCAACCAATATGAGAATGTTTCTGTTCTCCATGTTCATTTTGTTTGTAGATTCCATTGTCGATAGATATGCATTCATTGCCATTTTGTTTGTTCATATATGTTATCTTTTTCTTCAAAAAGACCCTTCATCATTTCATATAATAACGGTTTGGTGGTGATGAACTCCTTTAACTTTTTCTTGTCTGGGAAACTCTTTATATGGGCATCGATTCTAAATGACAGCTTTGCAGGATAGAGTAATTTTGGTTGTAGGTTCTTGCTTTTCATCACTCTGAATATTTCTTGCTACTCCCTTCTGGCCTGCAAAGTTTCTTTTGAGAAATCAGCTGAAAGACTTATGGGAACTCCCTTGTAGGTAACTAGCTGCCTTTCTCTTGCTGCTTTTAAGATTCTCTCTTTGTCTTGAACCTTTTGCATTTTGATGATGATGTGTCTTGGTGTGGGCCTCTTGGGGTTCATCTTGTTTGGGACTCTCTGTGCTTCCTGGACTTGTATGTCTGTTTCCTTCACCAAGGTAGGAAAGTTTTTTGCCATTTTTGTTTCTAACAGGTTTTCGATTTCTTGTTCTCTCTCTTCTCCTTCTGGCACCCCCAAGATGCGAGTGTTGGCACGCTTGAAGTTGTCCCAGAGGCTCCTTACACTATCCTCATTTTTTGGATTCGTTTTTCTTTTTGCTGTTCTGATTGGGTGTTTTTTGCTTCCTTATATTCCAAATCGATAGTTTGCTTCTTGGATTTACGTACTCTACTATTGAACCTCTGTAAATTATTCTTTTTTTTTTTTTTTTTTTATTCTCACCCGAGGACATTTTTCCATTTTTTGTTCAGATAGAGCAGGAGGGAGAGAGAGGAAGAGAGAGAAACATCGACGTGAAGGGACACATCGAGTGGCTGCCACCCGCACGACCAACCAGGGCCGGGGACAAACTGCAACCTAGGTACGTGCCCTTAGTGGGAACCGAACCCGGGTCTCTCTGTACCGCAGGCCGACGCTCCAACCGCTGAGCCAAACCGGCCAGGGCAAATTATTCTTTATTTCAGTTAATTCCTCCTTCATTTCTGACTGGTCCTTTTTTATGCTCTTGAGGCCCTCACTAAGTTCACTGAGGTTCTCACTAAGTTCATTGAGCATCCTTATAAGCAGTATTTTAAACTCAGCATCTGTTAGGTTGCTTGTCTCCATTTCGCTTAGTGCTTTTCTTGGGGTTTTGTTCCGTTTTTTCATTTGGAACCTGTTTCTTTGTCTCCTCATTTTGGCTGCCTCCCTGTGTTTGTTTCTGTGTATTACTTAACGAGCTGTATGGGGCTAGCTGAGACCAGATGCTGCTTGTTTGAAAGAATTTAGGGAAACCTGAAGCAGGATCCAAGACAGGCCAATCCTATGGTTAAGTAAGTGGCAATAGTTTGGGTGGGTCTGAAAGTTGTGTGGGGCGGGGCAGGGCCTCAGGGAGTCACCAGGGCGGGGCTACCAGTGTGAGCCAGGTTACTGGAGTCCCAGATATGGCGTCTGTCTCCCGCCCCAGGGAAGGGCTCACCAAAGAAACAAAGGCCTCTGACAGCATGTTTGTCCCAGAGAAAGCCCCCCTCCACCTCGCTCCAGTGCCAAACAGCTCAGTTCTTCCCTGTATGTCTCTGATGCCCCTTGAGCTGCCATCCCTCCAAGCTTAGAGGGAGAGAGTCTGGTAAGTTTGTGTGCGGGCCCTTTAAGGAGCTGCCTGGGGCTCCAGCCCCTTCAGCTTCCCTGAGCCTCAG